TTTTGAAATAAATGTTTTTATGATGTTCTTTTGAACACAGTTTCGTCTTTAACAGGTCCGAACTAAAGTGTTAATGCAGGAGTTTTTCAGGCTGACAGATGAATGAAGCTCATGTTGTCTGTAGATGAGGAATATTTCAGTGGTTTTCTCTCCCTGTGGCTGCTTCTGTCTCTTCATGTTTCTGTCGGTGTCATCCTGCTCTCTTGCTTTCTTTCCGTCAAATCTGAGAGCTGTTTCTCTTCTGCTCTTTCAGCGAAGAGGAGGGTGACGTTTGAAAGTAAGTGTCTCTCTCTCTCTGTTCCTCCATCTCGGTTTCTGTCGCTCTGAGATCAGCATGTAGTTCAGGGTCGTAACCTCTGAGAGACACCAGACAGGAAGAAAACACACAGAGCAGCCATATGGGCCATTCACACAGAACGCACTTTTGCTTTGAATAAACGTGAGATGTGGGCAGTGGAAAAACTCTAGGTCTGAAGATGCGATTTTTTTAAATGTTGAACCTGTTCTAACATGAGCTCTGTGTTTTTAGAACGCTGTGAACACAACAGTTGAGTGCACCATGTTTATATAAAGTGTGTTTACAGGTGCATCTCAATAAATTAGAATGTCGTGGAAAGTTAACTGTGTGCATTGAATTTATTTAATACACGAGTTTCACAATTTGAGTTGAATTGCTGAAATAAATGAACTTTTCCATGACATTCTAATTTATTGAGATGCACCTGTATATAGAGAAACAATGGAAAAATGCATTCTGTGTGAACGGCCCTTAACAACTGCATAGCAACAGCATATCAACGCCATGGCAACCTCCCGCAACACTGTAGCATCATGAGTTTTGCAAAGGCAAATGTTACAATTTTAAATTATTTAAAATTTCAATTGCAGTTTGACCTAAATGTTGTCTAAATAAAAAGTGTGCAGTAAGATGTTTAATGTTTTTTAAAGTCAAAAGTTTGGGGTCTGATTTTTTTTTTTCTTTTTTTAAAGAATTAATGCTTTTATTCAGCAAGGCTGTGAATTGACAAAAAGTGATTTTAAAGAGTTATATTGTTAGAAAATATTTCTATTTTGAATAAATGCTGTTTTTTATATTCTATTTTATTATTTTTTATATCCTTTATATTCCATTTTTTTTATATTTTATATTCATCAAAGAATGCTAAAAAAAAAAAAAAAAAAAAAAATTTAAGAAGCAAAA